TTGTTCCTGTTTTATGTGAGTCACCATAGTTTTCAAATACATTGCTATCAGAAACAGAAGACTAGAAAGAAAATGATCCTGGTGGTCAAGTGAGAACACCAAAGTTTGCCTTTCTTTGAAACTCCAAGGTGGAGTGCAGGGGCCTATTTGGTCATCACAGTGGGTCAGGACTGGGTCAGGTAACTAAAGGAAAGAAATCACCCCAGTGCCACTTTGAACATTTTGAAGCATGCTGAATTTGGTTTGGTAAATAAGACGCCCCAAGGCCAGCCCCAATTCAGGTCACTTTGCATGACTTCACCTCAGTGGCTGAATGGACCCTCCATTGCCCTGCAAACTAATCGCATTTGACTGAGGGATTCCTTCAAAGCTCTCCCTGCACAGTGAATTTTAAATGACCACTGACCTTGGGTGACCCGCACTGCAGAGTTCACCCTGCAAATTGATTGGACAGTGCTCTGTGGTACCTTTAGGATTCTAGGTTTGTGGGACCCCTGCAACCCTGCCCATAAATCAGTGGACAGGGATGGTGATTACAAATTACTGTTGCTATTTTTGCACTACAGTCCCTCTGTGTGAAGTAGTCCATATTTTATCCCAGTCGGCATATTTTCTTTCTGCTCAGGTGCATTTTCTCTGTATTTCTCCAAGGCGCCTTGCTGAGCAATTGCTTTGTCGTCAGTGTTTTGTTCCATGTGTGTTGTTGCATAGTCTGATGTCTTCAGAGTGAGAGGGCGAGAGGGTTGGGATGACTGAAAGCAAATAGGTAGAACTATTGGAAATGACAATGAGAGAGAGAGAGAGACAGAGAGAGGAAATGTTGGGTGAAGTCTATGGCTGAGATGTCAGAATTTTGTTTTTGAACAATTTTGAAAATATGGTATGTTGATTTTGGAATTATCCTGTTCAACAATGTGTGGTATCATCTGTATGTGTACCTCTGTGCTCTCATACATCACAAATACACTATGAAAGCAGATGGACGCTCTACTCTCAGGCCTTGAAATGAAGTTGGTTCCTTTTGTGTGTATAGATCTTGATCCAGACTTTACCTTCTCTCTCTGCCTTTTGGCTCTAAGTGACTCATGTTCAGCCCAGAAGAGATAATGGAAGAGAGAACAAGAAACCAAGGCTCACATCATTGAAGTTCATATAAATAGAAGTTTCAACTAAAGGATCCCAAAGAGAAACAGGTTATAGGAAGGCTTAATAAGTACAGATTTCTGTGAAAAGGAGACAATTTAAATTTACTTTACCAGACTTCTCTTAGAAGGCTTAGTAAGACAATCTAATGCCTCAGTTTGGGTCTGGCTCCTAAATAAACTAGTTTTAGGACCTTGAACAAGTTATTTAACTACTCTACACTTTCCTACTATAAATTGAGTGATAGTAGCATCTACCTCATAAGGTCATTATTAGGATCGATAAGTTAATAAATGTTAAATGCTTAGAACCATGCCCGGCTTGTAGTATGTGTGCAATAAATGCTAGCTCTTATTATTTTTGTGCCCTTTATCTTTAACTGACATTTGGTCAAAATTTTCTCTTAAAAGGTCAGGTGTTTGTATTAGAAATTTTGTTTGAAGGTTGCATTCCTGCTTCCACCCCATTTGTCTTGGATTTATAGCAAGACAGAGTGGCTGCTCTGCATTTTGAGATTTCTTTTAGCAATTCCAGATATTCCAGTGATTATTTTTTTCCAAATGTCAAGAAAGCCCTTACTATTGGAATAATAATAATAATAGCAAACATTTACTGAGCCCATTTTATATGCACCAGGCTTTCCATGAATTAATGCTTTCAGTGTATCGGTGTGTCTGCTCCTCATAACAGCCCTATGACATTATTCCCACTTGATAGATGAAGAACTTGGGGGCACAAAAGCTGAATCATCAGTGACTGTCCAGCTAATGGCTGAGTCTGCAGCCAGAGCCACCAAATTTGATTTTTCTCTGGCCAAATAATAGTGCCAACTTTACCTCAGGGCTGGTCACTAATCTGAATTTTTGAGTTATTGGCTCATCCATGATGATATGAGATTTATTATCAAAAGTGTGATGCGTTCCAACATCAAATTAACTGTGGTCACAAATGGGTTTTCTAGTAGTGGTTCTCGCTGATCCATCTCCATATGATTTATCTGTGAGCCACTCTATTTCAGTATTAACATCGTCACACAGAAGAAGCAAACATGTCTTACATTTTTAAATCCCCCTTGGTATCCATAAAAGCCTTGGGTGAAGACCTTCTTTGGTTCTTGCATCCCTTTGCTTGCCCACATCTGATACACTGCTGCTTGTTCTCAATCCATCTCCTTGGGGAGAAGAGACTTTGCTAACATGCAGGAAGTAGGTAGAGCGAATTCACTGGTGCTCTTCAACTATTTGCCAAACATGTAACAAAGCCCAGGTGTTGGAAATAGCATTTTTCTTAAAGAACAAGTGTTTGGGGCTTTCCTTACCTTAGTGCATTTACCATGGTCTTCTAATTCTTGGAGGTGGACCTTGTGAAGTGAATCCCAGTCTCAGAATGAAGAGATGGCCAAGTGAATGCTGGAAAACAATAGGTCAATTTGAACCAAGGGTTAGGCCTCAGTTCTGTAGTGCTTTTCTATATTTTTAATAAGGATGTTCTTTTAGCTGAATTCATTGACCTAAACTAGTCTATCTTAGTGCACCCTTTTAGTCAATATTTACTTATTTACTTTAAATTTCTTTAATCCTTTTTGGTTTTTTAAATCTTTTTTTACTGTATTTTATCTATTCTATGTTTTTTAGTTTGCTGTTTTATCTTGTTTATTTCATACCGTGTTATCACTTTTTATCTAAATTGTATGTACTTGCTCTATATGCATGGTTCCAACTTTATTTGCACTTTATTTTATCTTTAATGGCAAGAGAAGGTGCAGGTAGGTAGTGAGCAGCTGGAAGCCACTCCTGAATCGAACCAGGAGCCAGAAATTGCATTCCTTTTTCTTCCCAAATACTTTATCAAATAGTCCTTTGAGTTTCCCAATGCACATTCCTTTTTCTTTCCAAAAATGAAATTTCAGCTTAAAAGATATCAAGCTTAATTGTGTAGTTTCATCTGTCAGCTTTATTTTCTCCTACTTTTACCCTATCACTCTAAGATAATGTTTATTTTAGGTTCCTTAGCATTGAGTTAGAATGGTACTGTCTCAGTATTGGCTAAACTCTCTATTTGTTTTTGGATCAAAATCCCACAACTGCTAGATGTACACTGGGACTTGCACATAAAGCACAGGAAAAACCCAAGTAGAATAGCTTCCCTCTCTACATTTCACCTTCCTCTAACATTTCAGTTCCTCCCTGTTAGGGTTCAGATCTAAAATGACCCCTCAAAGTCATTTTGGAAGGTGTCTGGGAGGTGATTAGGTCATGGAGGTGCTGTACTCATCAGTGAATCTACTGATGACTTCAGCGGCTGAAAGTGCTCTCCTGAGATAGGGCTTGCTTAGAGATAGTCACTAAGGGGAGGACCTGGAGGGTCTTTCTTCCCTTCTTCATTTTTTTTCTTTCTCTTCTGTGGCACTGGGAAGTTTTTGTGGCATTGGGGCTTTGGCACAGAGCTACATTCCCAATTCTTATTTATTTATTTATTTATTTATGTATTTATATTGAGATGGGGTCTCACTAATTGGCTACGTTTTACAGTCTGGGCTCAAACATGCAATCTTCTTGACTCAGCCTCCCAGAATTCTGGGATTATAGGCATGCACAGCCAGAAAGATGCATGGCGTTCTTTATTTTTGGTATTGGAGATCGAACTCAGGACCTTGTGCTTGCCAGGCAGGCACTACTGCTGAGCTAAATCCCTGGCCCAGATGCATATATTCTTGTCCCCAGCTTCTCTCTCTCCCTCTCCTTCTTCCTCTCTGTCTCCCTTTCTTGGCTTCTGGGCTGCTGCTGTCCTCTGCCAAGCCCTTCAACCGTGAGCTTGTGCTTTGGAGCCAGCTGACCTTGGACTGAACCCACTGGAAACTGCAGCCTTTCTTCCTTTAGGTTGTGGGTATCTAGTGTTTTGTCCCAGAGACTGGAAAGTGACTGATCCCTTTTTCTCCTTTCTCAGGTCTCCAACTTACCCAAAGCCCTTTCTACTGTTCTCAGGGCTCTTTGGTAATTGAATAACTTCCCCCAACCCAAGTATTGTTCTTGTGTTTCCTCATTATGAAACATCTTCCACATTGCTGGAAGATGCATTCCTCTTCTCAGATATCTCCCAGGTTACTTGTGGCACCTGGAGTAAAATCCAGCTCCTCAGCCCAGGATTTAAGGTCTTTAGATTGTCCTGTCTCCCTTTCCAAATGTAACTCTGCTGCCTCCCTTACAGCAGACAGAATACCCAAATGGAGGAGCTGCCTCTTCCTCACTCATGGCTCAACTATGTGTCTCCTAGTTGTCTCTCTTGATGGTTTCTTAAATACATTTTTCTCCATTCAGAAGTATCCATTTTTACCCTGTTACATCCCTTTTCCCACTTTTTGATTCCCCTCTATTTCTCTATATTTTTATGATCTTTCCTGGAAACATTCTATTTGATGAAATGAGTATATAGTAGATCTTGGTAACAGATGGAACTTGGTTCAAATTCTGATTCTGATCTATAGTAATCATTTGACCTGTGGAAAGTTATTTAACTTTGTGAACCTTCTTTTGAAATTTCTAACATGAGAACAATACAATTTACCTCACAGGGTTGTTTTAAGGATAGATGAAATTAAGTCTTAAATTCTGAAGTCTTCATGGATTGCAAAAGCACAAGTCTCTCTCTCACTCTCAAGTATTTGAAGAGAGGTAAAGACAGGAAGGGGGCTTCGTGCTATTAGGAGTTAAGAATCCCTAAACTGGGCATGGTGGGGGATTCTGTGATCTCAGCACTCAAGGAGGAGGCAGGAGGATTGCAATTATGAGCCCAACCTGGGCAACTTAGCAACTTAGTGATGTCCCAATCTCCAATAGTGCCAATAGAGAAAGAAAGAAAGAAAGAAAGAAAGAAAGTCTCAAACACTAGAGGAGTGTCAACTCCTAAGCTCAAATTCTCACTTGATACCATTAGGTTTTCTAGATTTTAAAAATTTTATCTGGATTTAAGGGACATTTTATACAGGCCAATATATGTTTTTTGACTGAGAAATACTAAAGTGTTACTAGGCTGATCATCTGGAAAACAAATCAATGTGTATAACTATCTTTTATAATTGGGATTTCTTTGGAGTAATGTTAAATTGCAAATATATTGATACCCACTATATTAAGTACCTGAAATAAATTAAAACAGTAAAATGTTCAACTAAATTAGCCTTGGAAGTGATGTTAGTTAAGTCGGCAGTTCCAACACGTGCCGGGAAATTGATGAGACAGGACTTCTTAGGGAAGACGTGGAGAAGGCACCAGTTACCAGAGTGCTTGTGAAAGACGCATCCATCAGCACACGGGAAGCAAGGATAACTTTTACCTGAGCTCCCCAGCTCTGCTGTGGGGACTGGGCTCTCAGAGGCATTCACCTAGGGAGGCAGGCCTACAGACATGGACAGGAGTAGAGGCACCAATTCACTGAAGCTGCGTAGGCAGCGTGAAGTTTCAACACAACCAGGAAGTCAAAGATAAGCACTTCCGGTGAAGACTGGCTTAAGCCTGCAACCTGCCTCTCTCTGGGATCCCTCTACACTAATGGTGCTTCAGGTGGAAGAAGAACACATCGGAAGGGACAATATTGTATTTTGAAAAACATTTATTATTCACAGAATGTATACAGAATGTTTAAAGAATGTGGAAATTCCCCCATTTCTCTTCACTTTGTTCCTAGGAACTGAGAAAGCAGACTTTTAATAAGCTTCATTAGCAAGAGGAGCATTGACGGATTCAGGAGCTGAGACAAGAAGGAAGAAATAGGCAAAGTGAAATAGTGTCACAGATTGTGCCATGTGGGGGAGCGTCCATCATTTTGTTGAAACATTTCTTTAATATCACCAAGTACAGTATCTATATCACACACAGACACACACACACACCAGAGTGATTTCTAAAATGTTTCAGATATGTATCTATATATCATATAGATCTCTATATCTCCGTGTATGTATCTATATCTATCTATACAGAGAAGGTATAGTAATTTTAGTTTCATAATAGTAGCTATATCACTGAGTACTTATATTTAAGGCAACTCTACTGAGTATATATTATTTCCCCTTGATGGATGTAGAAACTATAGCTCAGGGTACCTCAGTGACTTGATCAGTCCAGCTCCCCATGGCGAAGTCCCAAGGAGACTGGTCATTCCAAGAGCTATTATTAAGTAAATAAATAAAATGGCACATGGCACACCATGAAATCATCCAAAAGAGTTTAAATAGGATAAACTTTATAATCACCATATTACAGGGAAACATTTTTCTTGCTTGAACTTTTAGGTTTAATATTCATCATTTGATCCAAGTATTATTGTTGTGTAAAGTCCTGACTTTTGTTTGCTGACTGATAACTATTTTCTCTTTAATTTGTGCTTTCCTTAGGAGTCGAATTCATGCAAATGCTGATGTCGCTGCCCTGTTCCCTGACCCAAAGCTCCTAAAGCAGGAACTTCAAGGGGTCAGGTATTGTTCTGGGTTAGAATCTGAAACTTAGAGAACAATAAACACAAAAATGGTCAGAACAGTAATACAGGATGCAGCAGTTGGTCCCAGTGGCAACATATGATGAATCTAAAGGGCTGAGCTAGAAGGCCAGGGAATCTGCCTTGGGCGATGCATTGTGCTGGCTCAGCAGGCTTTGCTGGTGCTAGAAAAAAACACCCATAAATCCAGAGCCAGGTGAGTTGTGAAAAGGGCCAAGAAAGGAGAGAAAGCCAGAGCAGAGCACCGATTGTGGGGAGATAAACAAACTGGCCAGGTAGGGAGGACAGCAATGCCTCTCCAGGAGCACTTCAGGCCAGCTCAAGAGTACCTGGCAGGGCAGACGGCGCCTCCGGAAGAGTTGTGTGCTCTTCTGCGTGGTGCTGCTCCTCTTGGCCCAAGTGCTCCAGAGTCAAGGCACAGCCTTTACATACATACCAGTGACATAAATATATGATGCATACTCCAGAAACTGAATAGTTCATCCTTTTTAGGATTGGCATCATTAATTTTAATGCTTGTCTTTTGCTAGAACAAACATTTTCATCTTCATTATACTGAAAGGTAGTTCTTCCAATCTCTCTCTAAAACATGTATCCATTTATGTTTTCAATTTACTTTGTGCTATTTTTCAAAAAGTCAGGTCAAGACCTAATTTCTAAAGCAATCTTAACAGTGTTTTGTTGTTCACCAGTGACTTACACTGTTAAGGAATCTATCAGGATTTCTTTGTTGCTGTTCTTTCTCTGGTATCTCCTTCCCAATATCTCATTCTCTGTGATTTGCAGTTCAGCATTTTGAATAAAATTTCATGACAAGAATGGGTGTTATACTTTAGAAAATGGCAACTTCATTTCAACAGCTACATAATTTCTTAGAATTTATGCTTTTTTATTGTGAACTTCGATCATCTAAATA